CACTCTTTCTAAAACATAATCCGATAGTGTGACCAAGTCCAGAAGAGGATCAGAGGGCTGAAGAACCTTTGAGGACAGGCAGAGAGTAGGGGTTTTTCAGCCTGGAGAAGAGAAGGTTCTGGGGAGACCTTACAGCGGCCTGCCAGTACCTGAAAGGGGCCTGCAGGAAAGAAAGGGAGGGAATCTTTATGAGGGATTGTAGTGATAGGACAAGGGGTAATGGGTTCAAACTGAAAGAGGGTAGATTTAAATTAGTATTAGGAAGAATGTTTTTTCCTGTGAGGGTGGTGAGACACTAGAACAAGTTGCCCAGAGAAGTTGTAGATAGCCCCTCCCTGGAAGTGTTGAAGACCAGGTTGGATGGAGCTTTGAGCACTGGCCAGTGGAAGGTGTCCCTGCCCATGGCAGAGGTGTTGGAACTCGATAATCTTTAAGGTCACCTCCAACTCACACCATTTTATGGTTCTATGATTCAATTATCTCCTCCAAACTCTTAATTATGCTCAGAGAAAGCACTGGCATCTTTCACTTCAACTCTCAATTCTTTCACTTTGCAGGAGTTCTTTGGCTCCTTAGCTTTTCCCCACAACATGCTTTGGGCAATCTGCTCCTTCAGATGCTTATTTCAACAATTTAATTTTTAACTAGCTCTTCTTCTTGACTTCCTTGTGTGTTTCATGAGCTCTACTTTCTCTTGCCCAGCTTTAAACAAGTTTTGGAAAATACTGAACTTAGCTAGTTAATGGTAGCTTCAAGTACTTTGTGCGATACTTCTGAGGAGGGATCTGGTGATGCCTTGGAATCATCATGGTCTTATTTTGAAGCTGGTATTGAAAGCAGTTGTGTTTTTGCTAGCTTGTTAAGTGTAGAAAAACATGCAGTGTCTTCCTCAATGATTTATATCTTTAGTATTCCTCTTGCTTGTTGCTGGCTGACAGTATGGAATTTCTTCCTTTCTCTGTTTTCCAAAGCCTATGTAAGATTTATTCAAGCCTATAATGCTGCCTCTAGGTTTGTAATACTTACTTTACACCCTTAGAATTCAATACAGTCTTTTCTGAGTCTATGTTCCAGCTGGGTGATTTGATTCCTCACAAGGAATTAATATTCAAGAAACAGTAAAGAACAACCTAGTAAAACTTAACTTATAAATCAAGTGAGTTAGGTTAATTATAGCAAAATTTTTATATGGGACCATCTAAAAATTGTTTGTGAAGCATGAGCTCACACTGGTGTGGCTGTCAACAGAGACACAAGAAGCAAATTACTAAAAAGACCTTTAACAAAGATAAGAAATGACTGTGTTAACTGAGGGGAAAGTGTCTGCTGGAAAAGATGAATAGAAACCCATTCTCTTTTATCATCATCAGTGGTCTGGAGGAGGAAGAAAACAGCAGCCTAAATTAATCTGCAGATAGCACTAAAAGGGATTTTTGCAAGCTAAGTATGTATAGAGAACTTGAGCAACTTGAACACCATTGAAACACTAGGCTTGAACTGTGAGAATAAATACTAAGAAAGTTTTGAAATATAATTTAATATTTCCCTAAAAGAACAAGAAATGGAAAATGAAAGGTAAATTATCAGAAACATAATCAGTGCCTGAGAGGTACATAGTCAGAATATGATGCAAAATTAGACAGCATGTTGTAACTAATTGCCAAAGGAAAGATGTACAAACACAAAACTTCATTGACAGTGATGAACATGAGTCAGATGAAAATCTCATGGTGGTACTGACTCAACAAAATGGAGACATAGAAGGATGATTTCACTATCTGTGGGAGGACGTGATGCCAAGCCATACAAAGGGTGTTTTCTTTGGCCTAGCAAATGAGGAATCCAGAGGATTTGCATTTCAACTGAGATTTCAAAGAGAAGACCAGGATATAGGCTACTTGCAAAGCCCTAATGAATGCGCTTCATTTGCAAGTACAATTCTGTAGAATGGAATGGAATGGAATGGAATGGAATAGAATGGAATAGAATAGAATAGAATAGAATAGAATAGAATAGAATAGAATAGAATCAAATCGAATCCAGTTGGAAGGGACCTACAACAATTATCTAGTCCAACTGCCTGATCTCTTCATGGCTGACCAAATTATTAAAGGGCTGAGCAAATTATTAAAGGGCATTGTCCAAATGCCTCTTAAGCACTGACAGGCATGGGCCATCAACCACCTCTTTAGGAAGCCTGTTCAGTGTTTCACCACCCTCTCACTAAAGACATGTTTTGTAATGTTAAGTCTGAATGCAGCTTTGAACCATTCCCACGTGTCTAATCACTGGATCCCAAAGACAAGAGATAAGCACCTCTCTCCCCACTTCCCCTCCTCAGGAAGCTCTAAACAGCAATGAGGTCTCAACCTCCTTTCTTGCAAAGGAGACAAACCGAGAGTCCTTAGCCACTCCTCAGAGGACATTCTTTCCAGCTCCTACACAAGCTTTGTTGCCCTCCTCAGTACACATTCAAGGATCTTAACATCCTTCTTAAATTTTAGGCCCCCAAACTGCACACAAGCTGAGGCCACACCAGTGCAGTGGGACAATCATCTGATTTTACCAGCTGGTCATGTTATGTTTGGTGCACCCCAGGGTAGATGCTGCCAGGGCACACAGCTGTCTCACCTTGAGCCAGTTGCCGACCAGCACCCCCAGGTTACTTTCTGCAGGGCTGTTCTCCGGCACCTCCTGTCCTGATTTATACATGTGCACAGCGTTACTCAACCTTAGGTCCTGAATCTCAATTTTTTCTTGTTAGATTTGATGCCATCAATCACTGCCCAATGTTTCAGTCTATCTAAACCCTTTGCAATGCCTCTTGTACCTCCTGAGAGTCAACAGCACCTCTCAGTTTATGAGAGGTAATGACTGCAAACGCGCTAATGGTGCATGCAATGCCTGCATCCAAACCATTGATAAAAATATTTAATAGAACTGTCCCTAGACTTGAACCCTGAGGAACACCACTGGTAAGAGGGCAGCTACCAGATGTAGCCCCATTCACTGCAATCCTTTGAGCCAACATATTGTGAACTTGCTCCTGTCATGGTATCAAAATACAGAAACACTATATCCATCACCTTTCCTTCGCCCACTATGTGGGTTACTTTATCATAGAAGAATATCCAATTATTTAGATAGGACTTGCTCTTTGTGAACCCATGTTGACTGTACCCAGTG